TATATATATATATATATATATATATTTTATTTTAGAATTATATTTGAATTTTGAAGCCCTGGTGTTAAGCAGCGCTGTAGAGGCTAGAGGACGCAGGCTGTTCGCTGCTCGTTCTGTGAGTGGAGGAGAACAAACGTCCCTCTAAGACTCTACTCAGCACTTTTCACGGCATAAATTTCATACACAGCTGAATCAATGACCTCAAGTTTTCAATTAAATTATGTATTATGATACAACTTGCATGTAGTAAAAAGCATTTTTATGAACTACTTAGAAAAACAATCGGGTATAGCTTCTTTAAATGTGATTAGAATACGAACAACGATTCAATTTGACCATATGTTTATAAAATGCATCTTTAAAATTGTCGTGAAAATTTTGAGTTTGGACCAGAGGTGTCGAGGGGCAGTGTAGTAGCAGGTTTTCATTTTAATCAAGCAGGAGCACACCAGACTCAACCCATTTCATTTTCACAAAACGTTATTTGGCACAACAGAATCTGCAAGTGAGTCCAGTCTTGACCTGGACCGTGGTGTGCTCCTGCTCGGTTGGAATGAAAACCTTGAGGGACCGCCCTTTCAGGAACCAGTTTGACATCCCTGGTTCAGAGTCTGAAAAGGGAGATTTAGGTTTTTGTTTTGTTTTTAAGATTTGAAGAAATAAGCTGAATGGCATCGGCGCTGCAACAAGTTAGTCAATATTTCAACGTTTTAGCAGATTTAAACATGCTGTGAAACGGTTTTATAATTCAAATTTTCTGTAAGTGAGATGAAAACGTTTTTAAAAAGACCTTTGTGTTAGAACCAGTCTATGAAGTTGAGTGGGAGCGTGTTATTTTGGTCTACTGTATCAAAAATATAACATATTGAGTGTGCTGATAATTATTTGCACAGAGAGAATGTTTTCGATTTGCCTCTGACACCGACACCTTCTCTTCTCTCAGCTGCTCCATCCCTCCTCCCTCTGTGCAGGTGAGAAGTTATTGTTCAATAAAGGCCCATGAAAGCTGTTTGTAAATCTTTATGCCAGCTATAACAGGACCTACAACTGAAGTAATAAGTGAGTAATGTGTCAATCTTTATCATATAGCACACAAGAGACTCTAAATCACTAAGAATTTTCTCTAGTAATACTATGTGACAGGATGAAAACTAGCTTTTTGGACAACTCTACTGGCAAAATTACAGTTACAAGTTGGCACTTTCTGTATTTTTAATTAAAATTGTCCTAAAATGTATATCTATTGTGAATGAAACTTGAGTACTACACTTTTTATGTATCACTTTATTAAAAACACATGCAGGCACATGATCCATAGCTTTACCAAATACTTCAATCATGGCAAAACATGGGCCCAGAATACACACACAATGTCTCCTACACCCTGTCCTACTTCCTTATCAGCTTCAGATCATTTACCTGGAGCTATCACTTTTATACTCTAGACCTCGGTACAGAAACCACGACTTCAACAAGTAGTTTACATCATGTTTTTGAATCACACTGACCGCACTGACGCCAAACTTAACACGCCACTCCAGCCCATAGAATGTGTAAGAGTGGATTAACAAAAGGTGACACCCGCAATAGCGCTGTTTGGATTTTACAAGTAGGAGCCAATTTGAGCTGGTCTAACAGGCTCCATGGGCAGGAATTGACAGTGAAATTATCGCTTAGGAACATCATAGCAACCAAAGAGCCAATCAGGTGCTGAGACGGGTCCATACCTGGTCATTATTATTCAGCATACTTTTATAAAGGCAATGTCAAAATAACCATAATAATAAAACACCAGATCATGTAGAACAGGGGTCTCCCACCTGTGGCTTGGTAGCTACCAGTAGTAGCTCGCCATTCCCTTTCAGGTAGCTCCCCAAAGAATTCAAGAAATTAACAAATGATCCTGAACTTTTTATTTATGGTATATGTATGTGTATGAGTTCTCCATGATTAGCTGTAGCTATCTTATAGATTACAATTGTATTATGACTGAGAAAGGAGTAGCTCCCTGCCTATTCTGTCATACTGTATAAAAGAAGTTCTCCAATCGAAAAAGGTTGTAGGATGTTTGAGCACATCCATTTTAAATCCACAGCACAGACTAAGATTCTCTAATTTCCAATTAAAGTGAAAGGGAACCAAAGCCTGTGGCAGCTAAATGTTGTGTGTCCGTGAGCACTTCCCCAAGGATTCAGCAGACTAGCACCACGGGGAAGCTCCCCACTGACATTAGCAGACTTTGGGACTGAAATATCAGCAAATGAACACGCAGCAATGTGACAAATCGTCAAGAGATTTAAATTGCCTATACAGCTTTAGTTGCGCTAACACAGAGAACTTAAATAACTCTCAATAATGATGATTGCAATATTAGCAATCAATCTATTTCAGTAGATACAGTATTCAGAATCAGAATCTATTATTGCCATATAAGGAGGTCACTGATTAGGACATTTCTTTGGCTCTCTGTGCAAAAAAGTCAAGAGTAGAGAAGAAATAAGGCATAATAAAATATTTCTAAAGTATAAAATGTTCTAAAGAAAATTTAAAAAAATTAGATAGTAAAATGTTTATTATTGTTAATATTATTTAGTATAATAATGCTTATTATTACAAGATACAATATACATTAAGCAGTGCAGTAAGGTGACGGCAGTAAAGTGGCTTTATAAAAGGCAGTAAAGTGGCTTTGTAAACGGCTGTAAAGTGACTTTATAAAGGGCGGGGGGAGGAAAATGTTATGAAATAGCCAACTCAAATACAAATGTTATCGTGCAATCTTCAAAATGTACTTTGCTCAGAAAATGTATCCAATTTGTTTCTGTAATTACTTGAAATAATGATGTAACATTCTCAGATTCAATCTAACAACCCATGGCACAATCAATAAATAAATAGCCAACAAATTATCATGATCACGAGTTGCAGCCAAGATACTGTGCGCTCCTATACTTAATACTTCAAACTAAAATGATTGCAGTTTGTCTGACATAATCAAAATACATAGTGAGGAATGAATAAGGCATTTATACAGCGGTGGAGAGCAGCGCGTCATCTCTCTGCTCATCCATTGATTTTAAAATGTGCCTCTGATCTCAGGACATTAAAAGCAGAGCAATGACGTGACACTATAAAACTTCAAGGTACAAAGACAGGAATAGCAGCGCCTAAAGTGGCTCTGGGTAAAACTAGAAACCTGAAAAACGGCTCACTTGTGTTGATTCCAAACACTGCAGGGCTTTCGGTTATGCAAAACTGGACATTATTTAGTTGAAAAGACGCCACAGGCCAAACATGGACTCAACCTATTTAGTCGTCTATGAGAAGTATAGAAAAAGCTCACTGTAACAGCTTCTATTATTATTATTATTATTATTATTAATCTGAGCCTCAATTTACACAACCAAAAGCACTGATACTTAACGGCAGTATTCATCTCTATTCTCAATTACACAATATCAATAATAAACAGCAGGATTCATAATTGAAATTCAATTACGGATACAGGACTAACACAAATTACATGTTTAACTAATATGAATGCAGATTTTTAGAGAAATTTCTGAGCATCCCACCAACCACATGCTTTGGCTTTTGAGCATCATGTGGAGGGATAATTGCATATGTGTGGCATTAGATATGATATTGGTGCCTCAAGCATTCCCTGATGTGAAATGTCCAATTGTTGTCCCATATGTTTTTTGTATGTCTTCGTAGGTAGGTCGTCAGGTAGCACAGTTGAGCTGAGCAATCTTACTGTACCGGAAAAAAAATTCCACTAACTTGTTGTGTGGTCATTAATAAATGATTCTGACTCTGATTTTTGATACAAGATTAATAATTATATCAAAAACTCTTGGACTAAGTTAATGTGTTAGGGCACTGCTCCACTGTTACTGTATGTTATGTATCTAGTCCAATGTTGGGCTGCAGAAAAAGAAAAACGTAATATTTTGAGACTTTTTCAGGGGATATTTTACATTTAGGCCCAATATATATTAGGTTAAAGTAAACAAAAAACATCAATAACGTTTGCTAGTTTGTGCTTTATCCCAGCTACTTTCAAAACCGTCCATTATTTGTGTTGTGTTTATGCAAAAATTGTGCAGGTTTGACTCAAAAATACAATATTAGTGAATATTTCATTTTCAGTTTGAGGAAGATTAAATCAGTATTAGACAGAACTATCCATATTGTACCATAAAAAAGCTGCCATTCATGCATTACATTGAGGAGAATGTATATCAGATCTATCAAGTAGTACCAAAATGTAGATCGTGAAAACAACATTACTTGACTATCGTAAGAATAACAAAGTAAGAATTAAATACTTATTGAATAGAGAGGTTGCATTGTTTCGTTATATATGAACAGTTAATTTGCAAAAACAGATAAGTGCCATTAGAAACATATTTGAAAGGCTTTAAACTTGCCCTTTACCGTGTAGTTGAGTCTGATGTGTGTGAGAATGGCTGGTGGTGGTCAGAGGGGCCGATGACACATACTGGTTGACTCATAGCTGTCAGTGTGACCCAGGGCAGCTGTGGCTACAGTAGTAGTTGGAATAATACTTTTTAGAATGATCCATTTTATTCTTATTTTTGCTGCTACTGGACACCTGAATTTCACACCTACAGGGATCAATAAAGTATCTATCTATCTATTATAGTCTTTTGAAAAGCTAGATCTATTTTAGTGACACACAAATAACCTCTTCTTGAACAAATACTTTCAAATGTACGGCTAAAAACAGAATACTTTTTTTGTGGACAAATTCTAAAAAAGGGAGATATATCTGTGTTTGCAAAAGAACATATTATATTCTTGTGATATGCAAAAGTCCTAGATCAGAATGCAGATATGTTTCTGGGTCAGGCTGTGTGTGCACTATCCCCACTCTCTCTGTCTCTTTGCTTTTCTCCCTCAGACTTTGACCGAGGTCGTTAGTTACTCAGGGAACTGATCAATATGAAGTACCAATTTGCTGGCAAAGTGCTTACCTTGTGTCCTCAGTGCCATTCAACCCAGCCTGGCTCTCACATCTGTCTCAGCAGCAGGAGTCAAGTTTCACATGTCCTCTGGAGCTATAGGAGTGATGCTAGGACACAAATCACGGACGAGAAAGTCAAATTAGACGAAAACATTTGACAATAGACGCAAACTGTGATCATCCAAAGTGTTTTTTATTCCCCGTACGTAACATTACGCGACTAAAGAAGAAGATTCCCAACCATATGGCACAAAAGTCTTGATTTAGTCGAGGCAAAAATAGATCGAAATAGCTACTTGTCAAGTCTTAAACAGACAAGTAGAACCAGATTGGCCTGTGATGCAAGGGCAGCCAACAACAACAGAAACTAGACCGAATTTCAAACTTGAAAAAAAAGAAAAGAAAGAAAATGTTATTGTGCTAAAGTTACGCCACACATCTTGGAGTTTAAAAAGTAGTAACTAAAGAGATGATTGTTCTAGGGGCTTTTACGTCCACGCTGCTGCTGCTGCATCTGGTCAACGCTGTTAAAGTAGATACATAGTGACTTACCTTGTGACGAAGGGTTCATAGTAGAATAAAAATGGCGTATAAACAATAGCTCTTGAGGTTCAGAAATAGATTTGTTTCCAGATCTGGTCTAAAAACATGAATACTAGTACTTTCTCGTACCGAGTTCTCACTACCGATCGTTGCGCCTGCAGCTTGTTGTCAACACTGTCAACTCCACTACAGCCAGTTCCTTGAAGAAAAAACGATGGAATCTGTTCAGACCAAAGCAGCGGCGCCAGAGCAGGACGAGCAGGAGCAGGCGACTGTTGGATTAGTTTTTTTTTTTTTTTTTTTTTTTTTATTGAGCAGAAATTGTAAGAACATAACATCAGATAAAATAATACAAAGTTTAAGACAAAAATTAATAACAAACACAAAAATAGAATTTAAAAAGAATACAAATAAAACACATGATGGGAAAACTACTTGCAGGGAAGTTGTGCATTTACAGATATTTGAGAAATGTGTTGTATGTTTTGATGGCTCTTTGGTTTATTGTGTATTGGATGGTTTGGCGGTATGTTGTTTTATTTCATTTTCAAGATGAAGTCCGTGTGGTTTGGTTTGTGCAAATTTGGTTTTGTGAATGTGATATTTGGCCAACATGATAATAGTCTGTATCAGGAGGGAGAGGTTGACTGTTGCAGTGTGATCATAGATGTGATGTGGTGTCCTACGCTGGTTCTGAAGGTCAAAGCATGCACACAAAGGTTGAGAACATGCACAGAATTGTTTAAAAGTAAAAACTACGTCGAAATAGTCATAAAACATTAACTATTATGCCTACATTTCCCGAAAACACACACTAATTCAGACTTAAATGTCTGAAATAGTATGAATATGTCCACTAATTGGACATATACCTATATAGACATAGACACAGATAAATATAGAAAAAAATACAATATAATAATTTATAGTGATAATTCAAATTAACCTAATTCACTGTTTGGGTTATAGATTTATTTATAAATTGAAGACATGTCACTCTGAACAGATGAAGCAAATGGGACAATGCAAACAGTTGTACAGAAGTTATAGTGATAAAGATGGTGGATGCAAACAAAATACAAAGAAAAAAGGCCAACAAGGATTTCTGTGCTAAATGTGGTTGTTAATTTGTCCAATGTATTCGATTTCCTGATGGTTATAATGAATTACATGCGTGCTTTTTTTCACCACTTAAAGCAGGTCTAAAGTACAGACCTTTACAGATCATGTTTGCTGACTAATGTGTGAGGAGAGCAATGCTGCCATCTGGTGTAAACCTTCGCGTATTTAAGCAAGTATGTACACTATCTAAAGTTTTAAACACTTACAAATACACAGGATGACAAAAATATTATACAACACACTCAAAATTACTCGTATCACAAACACTGATTTGCAATGTTTGAGCTAATGTTACTATTCCACTTCATTTGTCACTTAAACAAACTGGTAGTGAATACAATGTTATGGTCTAGTATATGAAATAATAAGAAATAAACTATAGAAGATATATTGAATAATTAGTGGTAATTTTTTTCTTGACATTTCACTCTTGATTAAACCTGTGCAGCATCCAAAATTGAGTCTGGAGCCCTGTTTTTGAACTATAGCATACATAATGAAAAAAAATAAAACAATAAATCAAGTTAGTATTGAGTTTTTTTTTACAATGATCAATCTTCACTCCTTTTCTACCAGTCTGATTGCTTTCATGATCATCAATGACCCCTATAACACAGCAGCTTTATAGAAAAGGCCAGGTCCACAGTGTAGGCTAACAAAGTAATACTTACAACTACTGTCTCCATGATAAAGAGCTCCACTATGTTTTGTGGCAGATGATTGTGCCCAGGTTCTTTGAGTTGCAATATCTTTGTGTAACAGATAACTGCAGCCACCATGTATAGAGACACTCCCATTAGACTAAACCCAGACAGAAATCTATTAAACGGCAAACAACATCGAGCTGCAAAGTCCCCTATAATCACCACTAGTGTTATGAGAGACGCAGTCAGGCAGATAGTATAGGAGGCAACGGACACCCACAGCTGCCAGCCGTGTATTTCACTGGGCATGTCATGGATGGCCTCCACAATGAGGGGAATCATCTGGCATCCTCCCCACACTTGGACCGTCTTGAGCAGGCCTGGTTTGCTCCCCATGTAGCCCCTCTGGTCAGGTGTCTGGCGGTGGAGCATGAAAGACTCAAATGCATATCCCAAAAAGGTGAGACAGGATGTTGTGGCAGCTGCTATGGCCCGAGCGGTTGGTGTTTGATTGTCCATTATCAACCATGGGTATATCACAGCAGAACTCAAAGAAAAGTAGGCTCCCAGTGCGGCGACAGTGATGGTGACATTTTTCCAGGATATTCGCAGGAGGTTGTGAAACTGAATCATGGTCAGAATTTGAATAGAGAGAGTGAGGGCAAAAAAGAGGCACCACGTCGACATGCAGAAAACCTTATATGTTTGCATGTGGATTGGGTTCTTGTTCAAGTCCACTGAATCCAAAGAGGCAACCAAACTGAAGGTGGCACAGGTGAAAAAGATGGTCCATATTCTTACCAGGAAGAATGGGCTTGAAAAGTCTCGAGCTTCCAGTACAATCACAGGCATTTTTACGTTCAAGTTGAAATCAGTTCATGACTTAAAAACGAAATCCTTTCGTGTGTTCTTAATTCGATGGTAATAGTCCAACAAACCTATTTTGGATGAACTCATAAAATCCAGGAATGTTCATGATGACGAAAAAGCATGTTTAGATAACTTGTTTTGTCTTGTGCACAAACGGAAACCTCATCTTCTCACCTCTTGGAAATTATCTTCCATCACTGGCAACACAAGCCCCACCCACTTCCTTTCTGAGGTTAGTGTGTATACTTTCAGTCTCAGCATAGCGAGTTGCACTGGACCACAATAAAAAGTTTGTGCAAACATTGTTATCTTCCTCCCACAGTCGATTCTCATGAGATTCAGTTCCTTTTTCTGCTGCTACAACTTCCCTTGGCTAATTTGTTTGTCTTTTAAAACATTTTTTTTTACAGAATCATTTTTTAAATCTGCGGCTATGATTTGGCCCGACTGAATAATGTGTGTGTTTCATTGATATATATATATGAGTGTGTTCACAGTAAAGTATCTGGACTTTAAAAGGTTATAACTCAAAAACTAAAATTACTATGAAAGATTTCAAACAGACACATTGAAGAGGTAGTGTGGATGAAATCAAAAGGAAAGATTGACAAATATATTTTTAGCGACATTTTAATTGACCAAATCAGCCTCTAATTTGACCATTCACTGTGACGCCAGTTACATAGAAAATGAAATGTCCTCAGTCTGAAAAAGTGTCGGATGAAATCCCACAAGATTTACATGGTTAACAAAAGAAAATCACTTGATACAAAAAGGAATCATTAAACATTTTTTAAAAAAGCATTACATTTTGTAAAAAAAATCATAAAAAAATTAAATGTATTAATTAATCAAATGACCATTGAAAAATGTGTAACGGACGTGATGGTTTCCGTCCTATTTAATCTAAAAATTAAACTTCTACTCTTTTAATCTCTTAATCAAATGTGGACATCTGAAAATTCCTATCAAACTTCCGCAAAGCTCATTCCATCAAATCATCACGTGGGGTCGCTAGAGGAAACTTGTCTAATAAAACAGTTGGACAGAGGAGGTGTTTGGATACATGAAAAACATAAAACATCTTCTGATTATTAAAATCTAATTTTTGGCCTTTTGTCACACTTTTGTGCCCTTTATTGTGAACAAGCCTATATTCATAATTCCACATTTTCTTTACTTGCCTGTCCCTTTGACTTTCATAGGCATACACACTTTTACAGACATGGAACGCACAACACAGACATTACATATACATAAACATTTCTTACCCTTTTCAACCGGTTACTCCATTCTGCAAAAGTAACTCAATTGTCACGTTATCTACTCCTTGTAAACAACACTTTAATGTCCAAAGAATATACAGCACTTGCACTTATTGTTATTTTCCACTGCAACACAAAATATTGAATCACAATCATTCACAATATCTGAAATGTATTTTGTCTAACACTCTTTAAATGGAGAGTTTTGAGACAGCTGGACTTGGTTCTGAAGCCTCTCTTTGTTTTGTGTAAGAAAGTGCAGATTTTATCATTTTAAGAAGAATTATGTATTCAGATAATATTTGATTGTATTAAAATTATCTTTATTTTCTGTGTAATTAAATAACTTCTTATCTCTCTAATTGTATTTTTTGTGCAACCGAAGTACCATGCTATCTACTCATGCTGTATGTTTGACTTATGAAGTTAGCCTTTAGGTGAAATGAGAGGGCCTGAAATTTTTATTTGTAATTGCCAGTGAACGACTCTTAGAATACGCTTTGGAAAATAACATTACAGAGTCTATGTCTAAAAATCAACATTCAACCACTAGATAAAACCATATAACAAGACGACTATGAACCAGTTTCTTGACTACAGAAATACAATGTGATCCTGAAGGCTTATACACATTTTCAGACACCTTCATCTTGCTGAGCAATTGGCCGGTTGTTGAAACAGGAAGTCACCAACTGTCACTGTCTTCGTTATTTGTTATTTATAGGGAACTTAAAGACAGATATCTGTTAATGCTGTCATATGAATATTTAGAAAATGTGTGAAACTCCACCCTTGAAGCTGATCACTATATTTGGTCAGAATTTGTGTGCAAAAGGCAAAGCTCCGTGGTAGACGGCAAGGTAAGTCTCAGCAGCTTTGTATATCGTAGCCCTTGCGTTCCAAACACTACAATCAACAATGTTTGCATTTTTCCTGCAGATGAAGATTCCTTGTTGGTTTCCACTTCTGTTGGGCACTTTAGCTCCACTGTGTGAACCATCTAAATTCCAGTATGGTTCTGCCAGTGAATGCAAGAGTATCCCCATGGTCCCTGGGTACAACCTCGGAGGAGAGGGGTTTGACATTGTGACCATGGAGCGCAAAGCAGCGTACGTCATCGATACTGAGACCTGGGATTTGGGCAATGGCACTTGCAAACTCTACCTCAACCCGTTCTTATCCAATAAGAAGCAGAAGGTCCCAGTGGCAGTGGAGGACTGGAGGCCTGTGTCTGCATGCAGCTTGTCAGTCTCCAGCACTTCTTATGACTCTGTGGAAACCCTGGTCAATGATTCCACCTCATCTGTGACCAATAACTGGAAAATTGGACTTACGATCCCTGTAAGTCCATCTGCATCTGTGGGGCTGGGATTGGGAGGGTCCCACTCAAAAGCAGCAAAGTTTGCCATGAAGAAATCTAAAGAGGATCGCTATAACTTCTATCGTCATTCTATTTACTGCAGTTATTATCGGTAAGTAGTAAATTTCACCAACCTGGCATTTACCTAAAATGCCTAACATCGCCAATTCATCGCACCAGTTTAAATAATATTTGCATATTTTTTTCTTTAGGTACAGAATGCGCCCGGCACCTCCAATGAGTAAAAGCTTCAAATTAGCAGTGAACTCTCTTCCAGCATATACGTATGGCTCTACCAAGTATCGCAGACTCATTGACACATATGGCACTCATTTAATCAATCAGGTGTATTTGGGAGGAGAGCTCAAATCCGTCACCTCCGTCAGAACATGTCAGGCCAGTCTGAACGGTCTAACCGAGTCTGAGGTTAGCAACTGTCTTTCTGTGGAAGCTTCAGCCAATGTGCTGGGAAAGGCAAGTTTGGATGCGACCTCGCAGCATTGTCGAGCTAAAGGCAAGAAGCTAGGTCATGGTTCTAGCTTCAGCCAATCCTTTAGTGAGCGCTTTACTGACACAATTGGTGGAAGCTTGTCCTCGGGCGCCACCTTGTTCACCCAATCCGATCCTTCTGTTTTCAATGATTGGTTGACTAGTCTTAAAACTGCCCCTGATGTGGTCAAGTACAATCTACAGCCTTTACACACCCTTCTGGCGGATGACCATAAAGCAAAGCAAGGTATCAAGAAAGAAGTCGAGAATTACATCATGAAAAACGCTCTTTTTAAAAAATGCTCAGAAAAATGCCAAGTCGGTCACATGACAAATCCCAGAGATCCTTGTGCTTGTGAGTGCAAAAGTAACCCGAATATGCGCTCCAACTGCTGCCCCACCGGTCGCGGTAAGGCTACTCTCCTGGTTTATGGGCTTTATGCCAAAGACCTATACGGAGATAGATGGACTCAGACTGACGGCTCAGTTGAGGTGGCTTTTGACAATCAAGTGAAACGCACAGATATTATTGACAACAATGACAATCCAAGATGGGGTGAAGTATTTAAGTTTGGCGCCATCACCATAACCATGAACACCAAGCTGCGGTTCACAGTGTATGACAGCGATTCCTATTGGAACAGTGACTGGCTTGGGGAGTGCTCTTTTCAATTGCGTCAAGGCACAGTATCAGATTCTTGCATGTTTGAGCATGGGAGTTTCTACTTCAGCTATAGGGTAGAGTGTGCACCAAGCCTGGGAGGAGACCAGTGTCAGGACTACCTGTCGTCCCCTGTCAGTGCCTCTGTGTCGAAAAACTTCTACACGAGGAATGGGCAGTTGGGGAAAGATATAAGATGGTAGAATACTGCAATGTACTGAATGACTATGACCTCAGGCAACGTTCTATAACTGCTTTCATTTTTCTTAAACATTTTCTGTAGCAGCTTTGATATTTGCGTAATTAGTAAAGGGTCACTGTTTTTGAAGGTAAATTCTAACCTGAAATTCCACTAAATTAACATCACACTGTAGCTTCAAAATTATAACAAATGTTTTTTTTTTCTCCTTGGAGCTGAACAAAATATGTCTTACCCTTGTTATAACCATGGTGTTGTAGCGGAGTTTCTTCAGAAGGAGCCCATTGTCCATATGTTTAGTGGTAAGGGGTAAAGGAGCACCTGGAGGAAACAGTGATCGAGGTTAAACTTTTTGTGGTAAACGATTAGGTTGAACTTCTGCAAAATGTAATACAAAATGTGTATTGTTTTATTAGGACTTCCTTTTTTCTTTACTTGCTGTTAATAATTCTAGTTGAACCAAATGTTTGGTTCAGGAATGACATTTTTGAAAACAAAATATGTATGAATTGATGCAAATGCAGAATGCCACGCTTTTTATTGTCTTCATCTCTAATAAAGCATCCACAAAGACAAACTGCATATGTGCATCTTTTTATCAGAATTTAGGTAGAAAACAAGTCTACAATTTAATCCGTTTTCTCTCATAGCCACCATCATGGGCAGTAGTAAGAACCATGCATTTCACACTTGCTAAAATAACCTCTAGGTTAATTTTGTGGTATAGGTTTTACAAAAAGGAAGGACGTTTTTCTCACTAATCATTTGAAATGTGTTAACCCCTTTTGGCGCCAGACTTTTCTCAGAACTTTGGTGTGAAAGATGGAGCCCTGAAGCTTAGATATAGAAGACTAACATACATAAATAATAAAGTAAAAACAACAAAAAACATAAATAAGTATAATCTAGGGAAATGTTTGTGGGTAACCAGGTTGCTGCTACAGCTCTAGATGCAATTCTGATGTTTTGGCATCTAAAGTATAATTCATATCACAAGTATTATAAAGATTAATATTATGAGATTGTTTATTTGTCCCACACTGGGGAAATGTCAGTGTTGCATCACCAGTTGCAGAACAGTAGGAATGAGGAGCACACAGCCCAAAATAAGTGACCAATAACTCAATAATAAAATAATATCAAATCTCTAACTATAGCATAATAAAGAAGTAAGTATAGAACCTCTAGCTTTAGCATAATACAAAGTAAGTATAACATCTCTAGCTTTAGCATAATAAAAAGTAAGTATAACATCTCTAGCTTTAGCATAATAAAAAGTAAGTATAACATCTCTAGCTTTAGCACAATAAAGAAGTAAGTATAACATCTCTAGCTTTAGCACAATAAAGAAGTATAAAATCTCTAACAAACAACTTTACATTCCAGTAGAAGAAATATATAGTTGTATGTCCAACACAAAGACTCCCATTAGGCAGTATTAGCACTGTTTGAATACTGCTTGCTTTTAAATACAAGAAACAGATGGGGTATTTCATTAGATGCGCGTTGAAGATGCTTGATAAGACACAACTGCCCCCATGTGGTGATGAAACGAACTGCTGCTAAAATGCAATGCTGTTCCCTCTATCCAGCAGCAGGGGGCGGGCCTCTCTCAGGAGAAGAGCCATCACATACATGTACATACAGGATAGACTCTGAAAAGTCAACTGTACTTACATTTCTGTTGTATAGGTTTGGGTTGCTGCAGTTAGCCGCAACCGAAGCTAATCCCAAGCACCTGAATAAAATAAAATAAAAATAAAAATACATGGGAAATTAGGTTGAATATAACTGGAAAAAATGGCAAAAGATGCAGAAGTCTAGGCGTAGATTTTGTCTCAGAAAAAGACACATTTTATTTTTGTTACACAGCGCAAGTGACGCGACCAGTATTAATGGTTTTCATAGTTTTTAATGGTTTTCAGCAAACACAGAAGTTCCCTTTAGCTTCTGCCATGACCCCAATGGATAAGTTTGCTTTGACCTTCATGTAATAGGACGTGAACTTGTCGTGATGGTCTTCAACAAAGCATTAATACTTGGATATTGAATGCTACTGTACGAGTTGGGGCCTGGTTAATATTTGCATGACAACTGCTGTAAAAAACAGTTTCCACTTTATTAAAGCTGGGGTACCTAATATTTCTTCTCGAGTATTTGTGTGTATTTTTGAGTCTTGTAAAAGTTTAATGGTAAATGAACATATCAGATCCGCTTTATCTTATCAGAAAACATGTTATATTTAGCATTCTGGTTAAGAAAAGCACTCTGAGTCACTATTTGACACTTTAGGCTGAAAGCTGATTGGCAGAGTTTTTCCCCTTTCTGTCCGAACAAGATGATCTAAAAATACATGCATGTGAGAACTAGTACTGGAACCAAACCTTTTTGAGGAGGAGGAACTAGTTACATGGATTGAATTATAGTTCAATTCAATTCAATGTATTCTTGTATAACCCTAAATCACAACAGTATCTCGGAGGACTTTACAAAACAGTTGAATTCTCCAACACAGATCAGAGAATCAAACAGATTAAACACAAGAAATGCCATGATAAAAAAACACATAGAGCCGTTGGTCCATAAGGAGCAGATGACCAATTGTAAAGCGCTTTGTGACTCGGGTCTGTGAAAGGTGCTAAACAAATATAAATCACGTACTTAGAGCTTGCATGGTGATTTGAGATTGCGCTTCAAAGCAACAAAGGTCCTGGGTTTGATTCCACCTCCAGGCCTTTCTTTGTGGAGTGTGCATGTTCCCCTCCGTGTCGGCTCCTGTTTCCTCCGGGTGCTCCGGTTTCCTCCGGGTGCACCAATAAAAACATATATATGAACTCTGAACATTGTAAAGCACTTGGTCTGTAAAATGTGCTATGGAGATAAACATTACTTACTTATAATGTCCATACATATGTCGTTGAATGTCCTGGACCATAACCAGTAGTTCAATTCTTGTGGTTTGAAAGTAAGGAACCCCAAGAAAGCGCCTTACACCACAACTACATGTTTTTGGTGGCTTGCGGGGAGAAAAGTTATGCAAAGTGAATGCTGCCGTAACAAGCCACTTTTAAAATGAGCATCTCCGCAAAATCAGGTGTCATAACGTTGCATTGTTTTATGAATCCACATCTGATTGGCTTGAAGTTGACAAGGAGCACATGAGTCATTTGGAATTATATCAAAGAAAAAAATATTGACAACTGTGACCAAGTCCTGCTCTGAATGAAAGCGGTTATATGTGGTTTATCACATGTCTTGTCACACTGTTCTGGTGAAAACATCAAAGGAATGTTTTGAACGCAGCACTGAAAACCCTGCACTGTGGTGTAATTGAGCCCAAGACAGAAAGACCCTCCGTATTTCAAACCGAAAGTGCTGAAAATCCAAATAAAAAGTGCTGTGCAAAATGGCAAAAAAAATGAGCCTATACAATATTATTAAAAGCAACAGATACAGGGCAAACGTGTCGACTGTTACGTAAGTGAGTAAGTAATATTTATTTATATAGCTCCTTTCACAGAACAGAGTCACAAAATGCTTTACACTTGTTGTGGGTATTTGTCCTCTCACTTCACACATTGGAGTGGGATAAATACTTACTATACTTACTATACTATAAAAACCGGCTTTTTGATGGCTTTGTTTGGACAGATTCAGATTCATTTATTTTCCATTTACAGTAAAACCACATTGGAATACATTTGCAAAAAGTTCCCAGTGTGCACCAGACAAGTACGTAAATAAAAATGTAGATTAAAAGTACAGAAGTTAGTTATCTGACATTAATACACGCAACTTCTAAGACAGCGTTTTATTTTTATTTTTAACATGTTTCACTGTTTGTTCAACGACAAATCTGTGTATACGTATATGTTACTGTAACTTGTGTAAGACGAATGTGTGTGAGTGTGTTGGTGGACCGATGAGAATGTTTCAGCACGGTGGACAATTATTAAATTTATTTCAATCTTCAGATCAGTGGCGAGGCAAGCATGCACACAGATAATAATAATTTTAATAATGCATCGGTTTTATATAGAGCTTTTTTGGACACTCAAAGACGCTTCACATGTCATGATTCATTCACTCTACAAGGTGGTGATAAACTTCTACTGTAGCCACAACTAAGAACACAACAGCAGTTTGGCACTTTACAGTCACAGCCGCCCCACTTACTGTTTGTCTGCCACTCGCTCGGTGTCCTGAGAAGGTTTTAGGAGCCACTTCTGCAGGGGGTAAGCAGAGTCCCCTTGGAGGTAATAACAGCTGTCCCCGATATTATAACAGATCCATGCAACCCACCAATGTTGCTAGTTACGTGTCGCGCATTAGTGACGTGGTCTGACAACCCACTCCAAGGTTGAGGAGATACTTGGAGGTACTAGTTTTAATGGACGTGTAGTGCCGTGCAGTGCCACGCCATGACTATGGAAAAGCGCGGTTTGACACTTTGGGCTGCGAGCTGATTGGTTGATTGAGAGTGGACCTTTCTCTTTAATTTTTCTGTCTGGAAAAAGCTGATCTAAAAACAAAACCTAACTATGTTTTTGTGGATTCAATTCAATTCAACTTTATTTATTTATCCGTGAGGAACTTCCTTTGCAGACATATAGTTCCAGAAATCCAGTATAAAATAAATTCATCGCATTGTGGTTTGAAAGTTGTTGCTTTATATACAAGGTGAAAAGTTCATAAAAATCTATTCAACATAATGTGGTGCATCCTGGTTAATTTAATTGCATTGTAGCAAGCCAACATGTGTTTTTACTCATAGTTTAGCATACAAAATTGTCCTGGCTTAAAAGTTACAGCCCTCATAGCGACAAGATTTCACACACTTCATTCTGAGGAAGAGAGCAGTTCCTGGTTCTTATCCCAGCTTCTTTATCAAACACTGACCCTCCATTCTTCAGCCTGGCCCCCACCTCCAAACCGGTCATCTATGTACGTCAGCCTGACAGTCTCCTGCTGTTTCCGCTTATCCACACCCCATTTCTTCCTCCTTCGGCTGCGCCAAGAAGAAAAGAGGGGGATTTGCCTCACGCCAGGACCCTGTTTCATGTGAAGCGCATGAGAAGGCCGAGGAGAAAGAAAGGAGGTGTTTTGGTTTTGAGTCGCGGTGAAGAGGTGCAGGAGCCCACTTGAAGAGCAGTGGGTTTGTTTGGGGGAAGCCCTCGCAGCAAAAAGAAGGATTAGTCCTGAGCAGCTTCCCATGAAACTGAAAGGGCGACTGGAGAGGACTTTTAGAGGTTACGGCTCTCGTCTCATCCCTTATAAACTCTTAAATACAGTATGCATGAACAAAGCAGATTCACTGGTGATCAAACAGAGGACGTATCATGCCACAAACAAGTTTTAAGTTTGTAAAAGTCACCAAACGCAACAGAAATGAGAGTAGATGGATGGGTATTGGACCTTTGTGACAAGGGAAGGACTTTTATTTATGCCTTTGATCCATTTTATTTACCATTTTATGTGTCAAAACTATTTATTATCTATTTCTAAATGATTTACATTTTCACACAATTTCATTCTTTTCATACTGTCATTATTAAATATTATAATAAATAAGATCATCCATCCATTCATTTTCTTCCCCTTAATCCATTTCTGGGTCGGGGGGGTGGCAGTCAGAGCTGCACCCAGTCACAGAGCACCAGCCCTTCACTGATCCTCCTGCAGGTGGTGAGTCCACAGGAGCCAAGATCTTTTCAGCGGGGGCTTCAGGCAAAGTGGGGTTAAGTGTCTTGCCCAAGGACACAAGGACAGCAGACAACAGCGGGAGTCTTGAAGTAGGTCTTGTTGTGCGGACTCGACCCCACAACCTTCAAGTTTTTCATATTGTCGCACTTCCTCTGTTCTAATTGTTTTTTCCTGTTCTTATTGTTCATTCTCTAATCTCTTGTTGGCAAATTGACAATGTTTTAAAGTTTTCCAAGGCGAGTTCTGTTGTGAATTAGGGATATACAAATAAAACAGTGGCACCACCTGCATGTGAAAGCCTGTGTGCTAGTACTGTGATGGGAGACCTCTGTGAACGCAGTGGGGCGGCTGCGGCTGTAAAGTGCTAAACCGTTGTTGTGTCCTTAGGCAAGACACTTCACCCCCATTGCCTAGCACGAGTCCGGTGTGTGTGAATGGCTGGTCGTGTCAGAGGGGCCGTTGGCACTTACTGGTTGGCTCGCTTCTGTCAGTGTGCCCCAGGACAGCTGTGGCTACGGTAGTGGTTTATAAACACTGTTTACGAAGTGAATGAACAATGCCATGTGATTATTAAAAAAAGTAAATGTTCTCTTCTTGTGTGATAATTGCATTTGATGACATTATGTTGAATTTTAGTCATCCACCCTGTATTAGGTGTGATTTATAGTTTTTAATTATTAGCATAGATACATTTTAAATATCCAATAGTACCAAGGATTGGTACTACAGTATATTATCGATCTTAAACATAGAGCAACGGTTGTGATTTATTGTGTAACTAATTACTTTTTAATGAAGTAAATTACCCAACACTGGTTATATACAATTTTTTTCTAATTAGAAGATGATTGGTCTTAGTGTTCTGTTACACAACACTTAAACCAGACCATTCTTATCATTCAATGTGATTTGATAAGAATGTTGTCGGTGTGAACAGTCTGAACGGTTAGTTTTACCGTTGGGTGAGAAGGATGCACATTACTGGGTATCCTCCAGTGTAGCAGGTGTGCATAAAGCTGCCATCAAAAGCTCTTGTCTCTGATGTGGGGTTATATTGAAGCTATGTTTGTCTTTGGATTAAAATTAGATGAAAAGTTCTTCAGTGTGTCAGACAGCTTCACAACATGGACAGATGTAACGTGCAGGATGTGACAGGGCTGCCGTGTGTCTTCAAATGTTAGCCATATGCTTTACACTGTTTTGCTCCAAAGTTAAACTAAAAATATTTCAAAAACACCAGATGTGAAATAATCATGATAATACTAAGAACTACCGCAGTAATAGAGATGCTAACATACTGCTGCTAACATGTACAGATGCCAACATACTGCTGCTAACCGAGCCCCGGCGACCCAAGATGGCGCCGTATTCAAATGGATGGTTTGTGCTAAGTGGCGCTTTGTGTCGGCACGGTCGCTGACATATCAATCAATCAATTAACGTTTATTTGTAGAGCGCCTTTCCTACACAAGGCAAAGCAATGCGCCTCACAACCCATATTACATCATACACAAATCATCAAACATTAGAATTTAAGTAAACATAAAAGACAGATTAAGAGCACAAGATATATTAAAAACATAAAAAATAAAATCACACAAGTAGTTAAAAACCGCAAAACATTAAAATCACACATGGGATTAAAATCATAAATAGTCATAGTGCATTAAAAAGATTAAAGATAAAAACAAATATAAAATCATTCACTTGTATGCACAGCTAAAAAGAACTGTTTTCAGTCCAGTTTTAGAAACTGCTAGAGTAGACGCCTGTCTCACACTCTCGGGAAGACGGTTCCAGACTCTAGCTGCATGAATCTGAAACGCAGCCTCCCCATTAGAGCCCTGCACGGGCCTATTATCTGGGCCCGAGCCCGGCCCTGGCCCGAGGGGGTGGCGCCCCAGCCCGGCCCGGCCCGATATGGTCTCTGAATTTTCAGGCCCGAAACCCGCATCAAGCCCGCCTTTTTTTTTTTTTGTAACCTCCCATAACAATGTTTTAGCGTAGTATATAGTGCCGCGCACTGATATGAACGCAGACTTAGCTAGAGTGCGGAGTTATACATGGTAGTGATGTGTTGTAATGAGTTCTGTGTGTGCGGAGTGGTGCAGAGTGAACGGCCGCATCTGTATGATGCCCATATGCTGCAACACACCTGTAAGTAACGCTATGTGCCGTCAATGACAACACTACACAGAACAACAAACACTACAGCGTGATAGAACGCTATATTCAGTGGGTGCGTTCGTAAATCTATTCTGCTGCTCTGAAAATGAAGAGCCCGAGCCCGGCCTGTGTCAGAGGTCATTATGCGGTCATCGGCCCGAAGCCCGGCCCTCGGGCTGTCGGGCCGTCGGGGCCCTCGGGCCAAGGACTCAAGTGCAGGGCTCTACTCCCCATGTCCATTTCCGACTCTTGGCACCAACAGACATACAGGTATTAGCAGAACTCGCCGGGAACTCGCAAAGATCCACGGGAAACTCGCCTGTATTTGGGCATCGTCTGGTCCTCCCGGTTCTGTGCAGTGGATGATCTCCCATAATGCGTTGTGGGAAATACGCGTGTGTGGCTGTCATGCACGCACACGGAGGAGCTCGGTTGCGCTCTGACCAATCAGAACTGCTGATCAGAGCAGGAGTTAGAGCGGCAGCCAGACAGGCAGAGTTTGTGGCGCAAAACCGAAGGATTTAAGAAGAAGAAAAGTTCAGGGAGACAAGGGACACTAAAATACCCACAAAATCCGATCTTTATGAAAGCTGTAGGTTCTCTGTCAGCTGAGGTCGAGCTGTTTTAATTTACATTGAGTTCTATGGGAAAATTTCTGGGTAGCCCACGTGAATTTAGTCTGGTTTAGCCTGCAGTACCGCGAGAATCCCCCCAGAATGTGGGTTCTTCAGCTACAAGCTAGTAATACCTTATCCAGTTATTACAATAGATCCATGCTGCTAACATGTAACGATGCTAACATATACAGTAACTACAAATCGCTTGCACTAGAAAACACAGTACTTTATACTTGCCTCTTATTTTGCCAAATGCAAAACTTTTTACTCTTTGTCATTATTATGTTGAAGATAAAGATTTTATACTTGTTATTGATCCTTGGGTTAGAGATTCTGTTTTATTTTAATTAGTATAGCTATTGTTAACTTGTGCCGTGTGCTCCTCATTCCAGTTGTTCTATAACTTGTGATGCAACACTGCAATTTTATCACTGTGGGAAAAATAAAGGATCTCTTAATCTTAATTGTAATATTTCTTACACCTTTAACCATACTTCAAATATAATGTAATTTGTTTGGGATAGTGTTCAATACAGTTCAAGTTTTATCAGTCATTTGGTAGAGAGTAAAATACTAAATGCATAGATATGAAATGACCATAACAATAAAAAAAACTCAGATCAAGCTTCTCATAAATTGGTTTCCCATCGTTGTGTGTTTCATACAAACAGAATGCAAAGCTGCTGCCATCTGTTGGTGACATGTGGCAAAACATTATCCTCTCAGAGTTAGAATCCTCTCCATGTTTGGGTGGGTTTCCTCCAGGCACTCCTCTTTCCCCCACCACTCAAAAAAACCATAAGCAGCATAAGTACATTTTACAGCAAGGGTCCTGACCAAACATCAACATCTGTACCTTGAACTTATCAGAAAAAAACTTGTATTAAATGTCTTATGATAGTTTTCCAACCTCGTCAGTAATGTTGATATCTATCTATCTACATATATCCGTTTGAATCCATCTTCTCAGCAAGAAGGTCCTGGGTTCGATTCCACCTAGAGACAGGGCCTCTCTGTATGGAGTTTGCACGTTCTCCGCATGTTTGCACAGGTTTTCTCCAGGTGCTCCGGTTTCCCCTACCACTAAAAACATGTACAATAGGGTTGAATGTTATGAGCGAGTGAATAATTTCAATAACTACTGTTGTGATTTAGGGCTATACAAGAATACATTGAGTTGAATTGAATGATGGTGATGGTTGTGGGCTTTGAGGCGACAGAGTTTCGCTTTTGTCAGTTTTTGTGGAGTTAATGGAAAGTACCAATACACCATATTCCTAAAGCGTTTTGTGTGACCATGGTCTATATACATCAAGATAACTTCCTTACTAAATGCAGATTGTTGTAGCACATTGCATCGTCACTAACTAACTGACTAACTGCCCTCTGAGCTCTGAAAATAGTTATAAGGACTTACACCCATCTTGCGTCTTTAGTTGGCTTAATATAGAGCCTCCCTTCTTTATTATGCAAGTGATAGCAACTTTATACCTACTTCTTGCTTCTTCATTATGCTAAAGTTGGAGATTTCAGACTTTCTTCCTTATTATGCTAAAATACATTTTCAAAAGAAATTAAAGCTAAATCTTTTCACACATGAACATTAAATCACATATTAGTGTATAAGAGTATGTGTCTATGTGTATGGGTGAATATATT